TAAACTGCAGGGTCAAAGTTTTGATCTAGTTGGCTTTCATATATCAATACTTTCTCAGCCTTTAAGTCACATTATCCGAATATACATAAAAAATAGTATAAACATTCAAAACAAGGAGGAAATGATTCGAATAATGTGATTCATAATTAATTTGACTAGTAACTTTTTATTTATCAATTCATTTTTCTTACATAATAAAAGCTCAAAGTGCCTGGGGGTTGGATCACGAGGCGGCCAGGGGACAAGCTCCCTAGTATTGTATGAAAAGTAAATAAAGACATAACCTCAAGTAATCGCGAGAACGGCTAAACCCATCCTATATCGGAGCACTAATGCGCCCTATCTCGGTGCTTAGCGTGGTCAGCGCGCACCTCCCCCCCCTCCCGTGCTTGAGAGTTAAGGGCACAGCTTTGTTTCATTATTTATTTCGGGCGCTCCAAGCACGTTCCCCCGGCGCTCATAACGGGCCGTATACCAGGTTCCGTATACCAGGTATACGTAAGTCTTACAAAATTACGGGGAGCAAAGGGCGCGGAATCAATTGACTCGTATGGGGATGAATGGGGGGGGGGCGCCAATCGGGGATCAGGAGTCGGGGGCGGGCCGACCAGAATCGACGGTCGAACAAATGAGCCCCGGGAGCAGACGAGTCGTAACCGGGGAACGACATTAATCAAAGCATTTTCCCGCGTTATTTTCTGTTCCAGTAGGCCGGCCAGCCGAGCCATCAATCAGCATTTCCATTCCGAGGATCCAGCTTATCACTGGGAGCATCCGCATTCCGCATTCCGCACTCGCATCGGCCTACAGTGGATCGAGTCGATAGGATGGGTTGGACTAGATTCCCTTCATACTGAGAGAAAGGCGATGTGAATCCATTTCTGATTGGTTCCCGTATTTTAGGCCTTCGCAGTGTCACAAACGGGAATGAAGATTACATTTTCACCGACTGCAAAGATTATAGACTGGAATGGACCGGGGAATCGGGGGTATGGCAAGGAACAAATGGAATGAAAGGGGGAACGGAGACAGGAATTCGGGAAGTGGTTCATCAAAGATTACAAAAAACTTCCGATTTGTGTAATCTTTTTTCCCGTTTGTGACATCCATGAGCCCCGTTGTCCTAACTCTCTTTTTAAAGGGACTCTAGGTTGGACAAACTTTGGCAATTTTAAACGCTCGTAACTTCGTTTACACACAACTTTGAAATTGTAAAATCGGTTCTATTCGTTTTTTCGCGAGAATGTCTTTTAAGAGGGGGACAACTTAAAGTTTTTTTTTTTTTTTTTTTTTTTTTTTTTTACCACTTCAAGTAGCCCACAAGGGCTAATCTCGGGCTTATTAGTCCCGGCCCCTCTCTTGCCCCTACTGAACAACCAGTCCCAGGCAACCATTGTTTGAGACAATCAAACTCGGGTCGCCTGGTCGGGATTCGAACCCGGGACCTCTCGATCATAGAGCTAGCGTTACAACCACTACACCACAGGAGGCCGACGAATAATGTGACAAAATGTGACGAAATTAACATTAAAATTTGCGGTTTTAGTCACAAATTTCAGGTCCGACCTCTCTAATTGACTCGATCCACTGTGCGGCCGCGGCCTACTACCCCGCCTCTGCCACACAATACGCGAATGTGCCACGCTCCCGAATCGATTGCTGACGGTGACGTCGTTTGGGGTCGTTACGAAAGGCCTGGATAAACAAGTATAAAAATTGATCAAATTTGCCAAAAACTTTCCTTTTTTTAAACTTTCGTTCAGAATTATTGCGATGAGAGACTCTCATTTACATAATTAAACGAATCGTAGTTAAATTAACGTCATACGTCCTCAGTATGCTATTTATTTATTTACTTAGGTTTCATATTATTTTTATATTATTTTGACAATTCGGTTAATTTAAATTAGAAATTGATTAGAAATTAATTAAAAATTGATCAAATTTGCCAAAAACTTTCCTTTTTTTAAACTTTCGTTCAGAATTATTGCGATGAGAGACTCTCATTTACATAATTAAACGAATCGTAGTTAAATTGACGTTATACGCCCTCAGTATGCAATTGATATATTTACTTACTTAGGTTTCATAATATTTTGATATTATTTTGACAAGTCGGTTAATTTAAATTAGTGTTAAAACACGAACTTTAGCTGGTCTCGGTGCCAAACTGAGGAGAGAGAGCGTTCAAATTCAAACAGATATTTAATCATTTCTAAAAGTGGCAACAGCGCGGGCGAACTGTATCCGCGTTTTGCAAATTCTCAACTTACGGTCCTCTTACTGTAAAATGTTAGGAGAGGGTCAGTTTTTAGAATTTTTGGTGTGCTTTGCGACAAATGATACAAACGTAATTCCTCGCACAGAGTATATGGTTACCTCATTTTTATATTTATTTTTTCACCTTAAGGAGTGTTTTGTCTGAATCCATCACATTATAACCCGAGAGGTAGACTTAGGATTTCGAACTATGAGCTAAGATCGTCTCAAGGGGATTGTCAAATTTGCGGAGCGTTAAAGTGGCTCTTAAGTCGCCGGTTATTAATCGAAAATGCAGATCGCTGGAAACTTGCGGTTAGACGTGGCGGTGAGCGAGATAAAGCTCAAGTGGCGGATCATAAATAATAATATTCTCGCAGCGAATGAACACGAGTTAAACATAGTTTCAACATCTGGTCGACGATTTGCTACACTCGCACCCCAGCTCTTTGGAAGATAATTCGTGCCAGTTAATCACCGTGTTCGTTTTCATGAAGCCAAGCGCTTGGAACCCCTAGAATTTCAGAGCCATCACACTCAACCTTTTAACAACCTTATTTAACAACCTTTTAACATCACACTCGAGGTGAGGATGCGTTTTATTCACAACTCGAGAAGTAATTAAGCATTTGGTTATCACGTCCGTCATTTAATACAGAACGTTAACATTCTAAATCTAAAGGAAATTTCATAAGGAAAAGTTTTTCGCCAAAGAAACTTCTTCCAGGGTGGAATTTATTAATTTTTAACTGATAATTGCATTTTATGTTAACCCTCTACGGCATGGTCTAATGATTTCGTTGCTGCGTATTATTTGGTTATTTAAAAATAGAATAATTCCTCTGTGGTATAATGTTGCAAGTGGTTGTTTGTATCAGTATTTTTGTTTTCGAAAACATAAATACCAAAATTTTGAAATGTTCATAAAAAAATTGGAACTTCATTTTGTTACGAAAGCTACCGATTACGTCCCTCGGAGTTCGAAATCCAAAATTAATTCATTCCATAGAGGGTCAAGAATTTTACAAGTTTTGCGACTTAGAAAAGGCTTTTAAAACACAGTCTTTCCGATCACTTTTCTTTATTAGATAGTTTAGTTTCGTATTATCCCCGATTTTCGATGATTTTAAATTTTGCATTATTATTTATAATTAGCAATTGGGAACCACAAATCCAAGCTCATCCGGAAAAAAAATTATGTGCATGGGGGAATAAGCTGTTCTTGAACTGAATCAGAATTTGAGTTACCAATTTGCAAAATGCAGTCCGATTGTTACCACAAAACAGCGCATTATAACTACGGCTGAAAAAGCGGGTTGGACCTGGAAACCATAGTGAGCGCTGTGCGGGCAACGATTATTTTTTCTCCGTGTTATAGAATGTTTTCACTCGTTCATTACGCTGAGCTCGAAGCACTTATAATAAAAGTTCTCTTCGAGACTTTGCACATCATTCGAGCGCGCAAAGAGGAGTACAGAGACTGCATCCCTCCGCCGGCTCGGACACTCGTCCCCGCATGGGAAAAAAAAGGAGGAACCTTTGTCGCACTTTTATAAATTCATTAACATGCAGAGCCCTCGAACGAGGGTGGCATAATTAATACGTTTCCTTTAATTTATTAATCCACTTTATTCGAAGCGGTGGAATCTGGCGGGAGCCCGCGCGTTCGGGCAATAAAAACCCGACGAAAGCTGCCGCTGGACATTTGTCACAATTAAGTGATCGACAGCGCCGGTCGACCCAACCCTTTATTCAAGTTCCACCCAACGATTTTTTCAAGTGAACAGGAATTCTTTCCTTCCCTCGACGGACCTTCCATTTTCTTGTCGCGATTCTCGCTACCGTCTACAGCAAAAACGCCAGAACTACACTCAAATTGTTTTCCTCTTACCCAGCACGTACTGCTCTGTTACAAGAAAATAAATCGCCAAAAGGCTTCGTTCTTTTAATTTTTACTTCCTAATGGCGGAGTTGTATTGAAAAAATGAAGGATGAATATTTGTCAACTTCTCTGTAAAACGGGATTTTGTCAGAAAAAATTGACACAATGCTAAATGGGGATACGGCATTTTAACTTCGGACGGCAGCTGGGTCTTGGACCGCTGATTTTGAAACGAAGTCTATGCATCACTGAGGCATATTTCTGGCGTAGTTGAGGCGTTGGGTCCAGAAGGGCATTTCTTGTGGTGTTTTAAAATTCACTGCTTATTCATAATTTACAGAGGAAACTATTCAATGAATTTTCAAAAATTGTTCGTTTTCAGCATTGTAAAATCGTGAGAAAAATTCAGTAAAAGTTCCGACGAATTCTATACGATTTGCTTTAAATGAATAATGACGAAACGTAAATGGAGATTCTTGGACACCGTATACAAGAAATGCCTTTGTATGCCAAGAAATGTACCCAGAGCTTCACTTGGTGGCGAGAATTATATAACAGGTGCCTATACATTAAACAGTTTATTTTCACCCGATTCTCGATGTTTAACAGCCCGGTTAAATAATTAAAATTTGGTACTGATTATGTTTGGTTTTACCTTAAACTACAGTAGATTTGTTCTAAGTATTTCAAGAAGTGTTAATGTTTAGTTTATGCTTTATCAAATTGAGCAATTAAAACAAAGGATTGGCAAAATCAATGGAAATACATGGGACAGCATGTTTCGCACATTGCATACGTGTTGGCTAAAACATCCTGTAAAAAAATTAGCAGCATGAAAGGAAAAGATGATAATATTTACCGTGAACAGCTTCATTAGTCCGTCTCAGGTGGCACACATGGATCAGAACTTGGGACACACACACATGGCAGGGGCAACTTCAACTTTGTTCGTGTCACAAAATCCGAAAACGGGCGCGCGAACTCATGTCACCGGGGAAAAATCCAAATCCAACGGACGCGGCGCGAAGATCCGGACACGGAGGACGCATCGGTTCGGGGGCAACGACGGCATTTCACGGAAGATTAGCGGGCCTGCAGCTCCGCGCCCGCGTATGAATGGAAAGTGAAAACAATGGAGCCCTTTCCCGGGCCGGCAACCAACCAGGAGCCTCGACGCTGGACCTCGACGTGAATGAAAATCCCCAGACGGAAATCGAGACTTCTTACGAGAAAAACCCGATCGAGTGACAGCGCCGCGACAACACTCGTGGGAGGGGGCACAGCTGGGGGACACCGAATGACTCTTTCCACGGTGCCAGGCCTCCCGTCGCTGGACTTGACTCTTACTCCGAGTCAATGGGTCGTATTTGGACCGAGTTCATCAGAAAGGACCACACACCAACCCACATTAAGTTGAAAATGAGAAAAATTATGTTTGAAGTTTACTTCCTGCATACACGGCACGGAAAAATTTAATTGCTGATTTAACAATTCAATTGCTAAGAAAAAAGTAACTGCAATGTTTCAACGTAGATTTTACCACCAAAAAATGTTACTTTAACGTCTATTGTAAACTACTTTAACCACGGGGGTGGTTAAAGTAGCATTTTTGTGTTGTAAAATCTACATCGAAAAATTGCAGTCACTTTTTTTGTCCGTGATTCAAAATGATTTTCACCAAAGTTTACTGATTCGATTTGCGTGCTCAGAATCATTTCGACGGAAGTTTACTGATTCGTGCGCTGCTTAAACTCATAAATTGGGTACATAAATCAATCGATGCGTTTCAGAACTTCCGCTCCACGAGGAAGTTGAAAACTTGAAAGATTAAAAGTCTCATCAGCTGCTTGAGAGTCAACAGTCGTAAGTCTGAAGCTTGAAATTGAAAGTTTGGACGGGTTGAACTTTAATGTCTCCTTTTCCCTGGAAAAATTCCATAAATTCAATTTTCAAGGATCGTTCGAGTGGGAGTCCCCGAACTGTGAGGGGTTGGAGTCGTGTCCCTGTTCCAGCTGTTCAATGCTCCTCAGATTCCTTTCAGTGTCATTTTAGCCCTCTTTGTCAAAGGGTAAATTTCCAAATATGATACATTATTTGAACAAACTGCTTTTGAAGATGGCTCTAAGAGGCCAAAAAGGCCTTCAGCATGTAACCGGTAGAATATCTTTTCCGCACAAAGTACATTTGTGGTAATTTTTCCGATTATCGTTGCCGCACAAAATCATGTTCGTACAAATCAGATTTCAAACATCTGGCAACATCTATTCAATGTTACATCTACATCAACTTCAGTAAATTTTTAATCGCGCACTTTCAAGTTGTATATTTTAATCCTAATATTTGATATGCATTTTTAAAGCGTGTTTTAAATCGATATCATGCCCGAAAATTTTAAGATAATTGAAAGCAACTAGGGTAAAAATATGACAGTTCATAAGAATATGTGTGAATACTGTGTTCACTTTTCTGTTTTTCTTAAATATACCTCATATTTTTCTTGACGTTACTACACACTATTAAAAATGATTTTGTGCGGCACCGATAATCGGAAAAATTGATTACCACAAATGTACCTTGTGCGGAGAAGATAGTCAGCCATGTAACCACTCTAAGCGTGTAAGTAAATAACTTGCAATAATAAATGTATTGTTCCAGGGCTCTTCTTTCTTTTTTAGTCATTTTAGCAAGATGGCCCTGAGAGGCCGAAAAGGCCTTCAGCATGTAAGCATGTAAGTAAATAACTTGCAAAAAAAAATAAACAGTACCAAGATTCTTTTTCTAATCATTTTAGCTTTTGAAAGCCTAAAAAAATTGTAAACCGTTTTTTTTTTCCAGAAAACTGCTTTTTGAGGGATCTTCCATCGTCTGTTTACATCTGGATCATGCAGGAATTCGAGAATTGGATGTGTTTTCAAGAACCAACCTCGCTTTTCTAGGTTGTTCTATGCAAAAATATAAAATGAATAAAAATGAAAACCTCGCGCAAATTTAATGCAAGCAGGATTGTCAAAAATAGGCATGTTTCACTCCTTTTCAATCCTCGGAGCATTGACCAGCCTTGCTGACGTTCATACGATACGTTTCAAGTACTCGTTGTTAGACTTCTTTCTTGGCCTGCAAGATAATTTGCCATATTGGACATGCTTGACTTTAACATTGACTGATTCATTTCCCAGAGTTACGCTTTATCCTGATCAAGACGTCACCGATGAAAGATGTCGCAACAGGGGCGACGGGCGCCCGGGTCCGAACACTCCGATGCCTGATGTATTGTCGTCGTCGCTAGCTCCTGCCGTTTTTCGTTGCGGCACAACGCCAGGCCATGACGATTCTGATTAGGACCGCGACATAATTCCATCAAGTCCGTCTCTGCCCCCTCCCCTCTCCCCCCCCCCGCTCGTGCCCCGCAAGATTCGGACCATTATGGGTCTGGCCCGGTCCCGGTGTTGTAATACTCGGGATTAACTCCGTCTAATCCGAGGTTCTGTAATTCAACATATTACATACTGCGCCGTAGTCCGGTTTCTCCACTCTCATCACTTTTACCTCATATCGCACTGATTTAACTTGGTCCTTTCGTCTTCCGATTGGATTCTCGCCTCTCGCGGCGCTCGATGTCCGGATTCGACGCGGGAGATCCGAGATCCAACGCTCACTTTCGGCAATGTAAACAGATCGGTGCTTCCTCTTGGAACGTTCGCTTATTCGGAGGATTAGCGACAATTATCATCGCTCACGGAGAAAAATACATTTCTATAGAACCGTCGAGTCAGGGCATAACTCAGAGAGGTTTCGGAGTTATGACTCTCGAGAATCTCTGAGCTGGTGTCGCGTCGTGGGTACCGCCAGCAACGCAATAGATTGCGTATTCACCGGAAAAACGATTCTGGAGCTGGATTCTAAAGTTGCATCGCCTAGATTTTGGGTAGGTATGGCTAGATGTTTGGGTTAATAATAAGGAGTAGGGTACTGGGAGTAGGGGTTGGTGTGAAGTGGATTTGGGGGTAGGATTGGGTGGGTTTAGGCGGGTGTGTGGGGG